CAAAAATGCTATAACAATCGCCAAGCTCGCTGTATCGTCACCAAGTGCCTCGTCACCCACAAATAGGCGCCTATGTCAGTGGTCTAATAACTCTTAGCGCGCTAATGGCATAGTTCCCCTGCCGCATAGAGAGTTGCCGCAATGATATTAGGTTAGCTAAGGTCAGTTAACTGACTGGTGGGAAACGGGAGCTTCAGCATTGACTATTATGTACGCATTTTTATGATGTTATCTAACAACAATGGTGTGTAGTGTTTACACGATCATGTTTCTAATTCTAATGTGTTGTAAATGTAATTAATCATGTTTTGTTGTTTTTGACATCATCCACATCCAGAGGGCCAGTCACTTCGAATGTATGGGAATGGTAGGAAACCATTTGGAAATGCATGAAAATTTTCAGTTTTTATTCATTATCGTTTTTATGGGCAGTTTTAGGTGCACAAAAATTGCACGAGTACATTACTATGGTGATAAGGTAAACACTCGTTTATTTGTTTCCTTCTGTGAAAGCATGTTTAGTCACAAATCGTGGATTTTCTGATATTCTCCATACTGCAAAAATGATTTTCCTACCACTGAAGGGGCGACATCTATCGGATCTTTAGTATAGCTACTACTCAAATCATATAATTAATTGAAAGCATTTGAAAAGTAAGATTCTAGTGTTTTGTATATCTAAAAACATTATTAAAGATCTACATTTGAAAACATTCAAACAACGTTTACTTTAAACGTTTTGTACATCTGAAAACATCAGAGAACAACAAACACGAAGTACAATTGAAAGCATCCGAACAACGTTTAGTTCTAACGTTGTGTACATCCGAAAACATCCAAAAACGTTTAGTTCTAGCATCGGGAAACATCTACGTTAGAAAACATCAGAATACATTTACAACTAAAAAAATCCGAACAACGTTTAATTCTAACATTTTTTACGTCCGAAAACGTTTGATTCTAACATCAGGAAACATCTACATTAGAAAACATCAGAAAACATTTACATATAAAAACATCCAAACAAAGTTTAGTTCTAACGTTATGTACATCCAAAAACATCCAAAAACGTTTGATTCTAACATCAGGAAAAATTTCGACAGTGAGCATGCATAAGGGCCTATACGCGATGATCGATTCTCTTCCGTCGATTTTCTCTTTTGTTAATAACTCGCTAGATTTAACGTTTCTCGGTGCGTTTGATGTTGCTTTTGATAGCCAATACAACCTGTTACTACTCTGCATTGAACAAATTCTAGAAAATTGTTTCACTTAGCTGTAGCAATGCAAAGAGAAAATCGATGAAGAGAATCGATCATCGCGTATTCGCCCTTATGCATGCTCACTGTCGATTTAATCGATTAATCGATTAACAAACCGATAAGTAAAATATTTGTAATCGGTTATATCATGCCGATATAAGCATTAACATCTCCAGAGGATCATCACCCATCGTTTCAAACATGTGCTGCACTCTCATTGGTGGAAAAATGACAGCACAGCGAAAAAAAAATACTCGATTAGTTGTTAATCGAGCAATTGAAAAATGGGACATCTCTGAATTTGGTGTGATTGTTTTGATAAAAATGAGCGAAAAATTCGACAGTGAGCATGCATAAGGGCCTATACGCGATGATCGATTCTCTTCATCGATTTTCTCTTTTGTTAATAACTCGCTAGATTTAACGTTTCTCGGTGCGTTTGCTGTTGCTTTTGATAGCCAATACAACCTGTTACTACTCTGCATTGAACAAATTCTAGAAAATTGTTTCGCTTAGCTGTAGCAATGCAAAGAGAAAGTCGATGAAGAGAATCGATCATCGCGTATTCGCCCTTATGCATGCTCACTGTCAAATTTCATCTCTACCGAGGGGGCAGCAAAACCACAAAATTACCTTGAATACGGGGGGTATTCATTGGATGAAAGGGACCGTGAAAGAGGACACTAAAATAGAAAGTTTTTCTTCCGACAGTTTCATCTTAGTATTCATCTTTGGTTTAACTGACTAAGCCTGGTACGCAGCTGAAAAGAAAACGGAAAAGTAATTTTTGAGGATTTTTCCCAAAAGAAAATTTGACAGCTATAGGCTGCTAAATTTTGAGATTATAGGGAGATGTCGTCAAATTGTAAAATCAACACTTATTAGTGTTTATGTTGTTTAAATGCATCCAAAACATCAGTTTTGCAATAAACGCCAACATTACCTAACGGAATAATTGATCAGACCATTATTCCGCAAGGAAAGTGAAATTGCATTCAGAATGCGCCACCTTCATGACGATCACGATACTAATGTAATCATCTTTCCTTTACCGATTTCTTTTGAACTGCGTACTGGGTCAAGAAATGCTGAAGAAAAGTAATTTCTTTTGCATTCCGTGTCCTATCCCGTAGCACGTAAAAACGTCATTACTTTTCAGCTGCGTACCAGGCTCTAGACATTTATTTTGTTCATTCGTGTACCGTTTTACCCAGTTTCACACTCATTTTAGTTTACCGAAGTCAGTTAAATTTTACTGGGTTTTTGAACTGCGGACCACCCAGTTATTAGATCGGTTGCAATTTTGAATACCGAACTTCCAGTAGCAGCAAAATGGAAATGAAACGTTAAAGAATACTATATGTTCAGTAATGCATATAAAACCATTATCGGGGAATCAACCGATGAGCTCAGTACATATGATCAAAATAATGTTGATTGAATATAATGATTATGATTGCAGCAGCATAAAATTCATCAAACGGCGCCGGTGGTGTAGTGGTAAGCGTGATTACCTCTCACCCCAGCAGGCCTGGGTTCAATCCCAGTCGGCGCCGTCGGGATGTTCTGAGGCATAACATCTCTGATCACGCCTTCCTTCGGATGGGAAGTAAAGCCGTTGGTCCCCGGTTCATGAGTTGATGGGTCGATAGGTAGGGTCCAGGTGCGGGAGCTGCCTTCTTGGTACGTCGGTAGCATTGGTGCTCAGCACGGAAAACAAGATCGACGGAAAAAACAAACCAAAGGAAAAAAAAAAAAATAAATAAAATTCATCAAACGCTTTCAATATGGCTCATGATCAATAATGTTGTTTCGAAATTCTACAATACTTTTAACTGCATACGGTATCATTTGGCGTACAGAACGAACATCGTCTATTTGAACAAAAACTAATGAGAATACAGAACATCATCTATACATTAGTTACTTACGTGAGTTCGATCAGTTTCCTATGTAAAAGTTACAGTCAACTGTACATAATTACGTGGCAGCACTTTATTTGCCCAAACTATCCAAGCATTGTGTCTTGTGTCAAATTGCACTGTTCATGATCAGTTATATGCACATCAACATTGATGAGGATTCAGTAAATCTATCTATCTATCTATCTATATATATATATATATATATATATATATATATATATATATATATATATATATATCTATATATATAAAAATGAATTTCTGTCTGTCTGTCTGTCTGACCCTTATAGACTCGGAAACTACTGAACCGATTGGCGTGAAAATTTGTATACAGGGGTTTTTGGGGCCGTGGAAGGTTCTTATGATGGTTCGAGACCCCTCCCCCTTATGTAAGGGGGGCTCCCATACAAATGAAACAGAAATTTCTGCAGAACTCGAGAACTAATCAAGCAAATGGAACCAAATTAGGCATGTGGGGGCGAGTGTGGGGGTATAAGGAGATAATCATAGGGGGTAGCCCCTTAGATAATAGGGGGGGGGGGGGCTACGTACAATATAGCATGCTTTTTTTTAAATCGGCGCATAAACTCAAGCTAATATATTGAATCCCGAGCAAGACCGAGCACACTCAGCTAGTACTATATAAAACTGTTTCTTCGGTAATATTTTGTACTGAAAATTAGTACAGTTCAGTAAACATACTACTTTACCGTTTAATCCGTAAAAATACTTGCAGTACACAGTATTCTTTTGGCAACTTAACTGATATTCAGTTATTAAATACCGATTGTCGGTTTCAAGTCACGTCTGAACTGATGTTTCAGCTATAATTTTGCTTTACAAACCAGAGTCAGTAAAAATAATTACCGAACACCTAAATCCTGAATGAGTGTGCAGCGTCATCTAGAAGCAAAAATGTAAAAGTGCTTCATTCTCCATTTTTTTTTAATATCCTGCAACTACAATTAATGTTTTGTTGTTTTTGACATCATCCACATCCAGAGGGCCAGTCACTTTCGAATGTATGGGAATGGTAGGAAACCATTTGGAAATGCATGAATTTTTTAGTTTTTATTCATTATCGTATTTATGGGCAGTTTTAGATGCACAAAAAATGCACGAGTACATTACTATGGTGATAAGGTAAATACTCGTTTGTTTCCTTCTGTGAAAGCATGTTTAGCCACAAATCGTGGATTTTCTGATATTCTCCATACTGCAAAAATGATTTTCCTACCACTGATGGGGCGACATGTCTCGGATCTGAAGTATAGCTACTACTCAATTAATTACCCTCTCTTACTCGTAATCTACCTCGACGTAGTTAAAACAACGGCAGAGTAGGGGTAGTAAATACTCGTATATTTGTTTCCTTCTGTGAATGCATGTTTAGCCACAAATCGTGGATTTTCTGATATTCTCCATACTGCAAAAATGATTTTCCTACCACTGAAGGGGCGACATCTCTCGGATCTTCAGTATAGCTAGTACTCAATTAATTACCCTCTCTTACTCGTAATCTACCCGTAGTTAAAACAACGGCAGAGTAGGGAAATGTCTCTAATCTTGGCCTATGGATCTAAGATTGGCCCATTGCTGAAAATTTGCTATTTATCAATTTTATCTAGATGAACGCGTTATTGGGACGTTACTAATGAATATTTTTGTTTGCTATTGAAAATTTAGTCGATTGATGAATTTATGTATGGGCCCAAATTAGGGACACTTAGGCCGACATTACCTGCATTTCCCCTATTTAAATTTTTATTTTTTTTGGATTTTCTTTCTTTAAAGCAGAGTCGCTTTGTGGAATGTCGAATTGTCACATATATTATCAGTTAAAGTTAAATTCAATTTTTTGATTTACAAGGTAATAATAAAGTAAGCTAATAAACACAAAATATAACATACGTGACCAGCACAAAAATGTGAGTACTGAAAAAATCCATGTATCAGATGAACACTTACAGAAAACCGGTTTTTGTTGATCATCTTTGGTAGGCCTTATTCTACCATGTCCTCTTCGTCGGACGATGAGCTAGCCGGTATTGTGGTAAACCATGTTTCTCGGTTTTTGGTGTTCCTGAAAATGATTTTTTAATATGAAGTGTTAGATTTTGTCGTAAAGCAAACACCACACGGTAAGAAATATTGTCAATACTTACAAGTATTGACAATAATACTGATGATGTGAATACAGAAATATTGTCAATACCGATGTATTGACGTCAATATAGAATATATTGACAATACGATTATTGTCAATACAAACAGTCGTGTAGGGTCCCCTTAATTTGTCAAAAATTGATTCGGAGTATTGTACGGGATAAACGCTGTGCCAACATATCACGTCTGTTCGTCACAGTATAATCATAGACAACCAGACATAACACTCACAATCACTTTCATCGCAAATAATGTTTTAGTTGGGAATGTGCTTGCATTTGTCATGGTGGCGCCACTGAAGCATTGAGCAAGCCACCCCATTTCGAACTTATCAGTGATGCCAGTTCTTTTTCACGTCTAGTTAGTAGATGTCAGCTCTTGAAAATGATAAGTGGTCAAGGCATCCCACTGGAGACACATACCACATCTGACGAATACAGAAAAAAAGTTGTTGAATATTACATCAAAAGTGCTGCACATTAGTCATTCCGTTCCTAATATTACGCTGGACGATTATCACATAATTCGAGAGCAAATCATGTTGATGACTGTAATATTCTATCAACTTTTACCCCTTTTACCAGTTATTGAAGTTCCATACTTCACCATGAATTTCTTTGATTGATACATATTATATTTTTTTGCTGTACACACATTAAAGTTACAGAGAACAGACATTGAGGCTCGAACAAAATTTCTCTAAAAACTTGTGTAAAGATTCTTATTCGACTTAAGCGCCACTAACGGCGACTTCCCCACTTAAAAAACCTCTTTGACAACATGATGACACTGGCGTTGCAAAACTTACACTAGACACTAAGTGCTGGTAGCGCCAAGTGGCAATTTTCAACAGAAAATTTATCGATACTAGTGCCAAATTGACCGAAAGTGCAAAATTTATAGCGGAAATCAGGATATGCTAGCGCTACGTAACGGCGACGTTTCCACTTAACTTACACAAGTTTCTGACCGAGCTTGGACGTCTGTTCTCTGTGTTAAAGTGATGAGCGGTGGTAGAAAGGGCAATAATCAGTGATGCATTACCCCGTTTAAAAACTTGTTTACAGCAAAAGAAAAAGCACACTAAACAAACAATCCCTGAAAATAGTCCTTAGCTTTTGTGAATTTTTCCTACGGATCCGTATTTCTGCAGAATTCCATCTATGGAAAATTTCGTAGAACCGACATCACTGACTTTCATCTGTTTTGTTTTTATTGAACACAGCTGATGCGTTGACAGAACGAGGGAAAAGCAACTGGTGGAAAAATTGCATGAACGAGGGATGCTCTGGTTGCACATCAATGCTTGGGAATGTGGATGATAGATGGTGCTAGTGCACATGCAAAATACGCTTGACGATATTTTTTGTAGAATTTTCTTCTAAGAGTTATGTCTGTTTGTCTGTGGTATAATCATCGAGATTTACATGAGCATTGGATGGGCAATAAGATTTCTCAGTTCCGAGTTAGGAATGTTTCAGAAAGTGAAAAAGAAAGCAACGGTGACGAATGAGATTTCGCGACTACGGAACATGGCGGACATGGTATTTTCACGCAAAGGTTGACACTTAGTTATGGGATATTTCGGTGCAGTGACAGCATAATAAGGGGCACGCAATAACTGTAATTAAGGTTATTCGATTAATTACATATTTAACTACTTTAATTATTTAACGGCGCCGGTGGTGTAGTGGTAAGCGTGATTACCTCTCACCCCAGCAGGCCTGGGTTCAATACCAGTCGGCGCCGCCGGGATGTTCTGAGGCATAACATCTCTGATCACGCCTTCCTTCGGATGGGAAGTAAAGCCGTTGGTCCCCGGTTCATGAGTTGATGGGTCGATAGGTAGGGTCCAGGTGTGGGAGCTGCCTTCCTGGCACGTCGGTAGCATTGGTGCTCAGCACGGAAAACAAGATCGACGGAAAAAACAAACAAAAGGAAAAAAAAATACTTTAATTATTCCTTGCGATCGTTAACTGCTTGTTAAGTCCATGGTATATGGTATAACCAACAATCAATACGAAACTATCGATTTTAAATTGGCTCACTACTTGACTAGCCTATTGGTCTCAAGTAAATCGATTAACGTGCCCCATTCTAGTCGAAATTCTAGTACTACACAATGTTTGTTTTGATTTGCCATGAAAGTTTGACAGATAAAATGAGGGGTTCGTGGATTTTCCTATGTTTCGAGGGGTGCATCGATTAGCTTGTGACCGAAGATAATACCAGAGCTGAGCCAAAAACGTTGAATGGTTGCAATTCAAGCAAATTTTCCATCGCAGCAGGTGTTCCGCAAGGAAGTCTGTTGGGCCCTTTGCTATACAGCATCTACACTTCCGACATTCCTCCCTTGGGTAACGGTTGCGTGTTATTTCTGTTCGCAGATGATACCACTATAACCACAAACGAAGTGACAGACGGAGCAGCTCGAAAACTTTGGTGACTAACCTGCTATTGCAATTTTTCAGTGTACCACATGGCAACACCACTACTACTGGATTGAACCACATGGCAACACTACTACTGGATTGAACTAGCATTTTCACCAAATGTACTAGAATGTTTTGGTTCTATCTCTTTCACTCTACTCAAAACTGAAATGCATAAAAAAATGACAAAATGATACGCACTCTTTGCACCACAAACGAAGTGACAGACGACTTACTGGCGAAGAAATCCATTAAAATAATGTGGTTCACTGTAATAGAATTTTCTTGGAAGCTTGTGCCATCATCCACCAGATGGGTTAGTTTTTTTGTTTTGATTTGAACAAAGTTGATTTTGTGTACAATGATTCTTTGACAGTGTGCAAAGAGTGCGTATCATTTTGTCATTTTTTTATGCATTTCAGTTTTGAGTAGAGTGAAAGAGATAGAACCAAAACATTCTAGTACATTCGGTTAAAATGCTAGTTCAATAGTAGTAGCATAGAGGTAACTCTAAGACCACTGGGTCCCGAAGAAAATCATTATTATTTTTGGCTCACTCAGTACCAGAACAACGGTCCCAAGCAGTCCCAAGCTATTTCACTCACCCCTGCATGTTCTGCATGAATCCACACACCCCTGATGTTATCTGTCAAACTTTCATAGCAAATCAAAACAAACATAGTGTAGTAATAGAATTTCAACTAGAATAGGGTACGTTAATCGTTTGCTTGGGACCAATAGGCTACTAAAGTGGTGAGCCAATTTAAAATCGTTAGTTTCGTATTGATTGTTGGTAGTAGTGTTGCCATGTTGTACAATCCAGTAGAAGTGGTGTTGCCATGTGGTACACTGAAAAATTGCATTAGCAGGTTAGTCACCAAAGTTTTCGAGCCGCTCCGTCTGTCACTTCGTTTGTGCTTTGCACACTGTCAAAGAATCATTGTACACAAAATCAACTTTGTGCAAAACCAAAACAAAAATACTATCCCATCTGGTGGATGTTGGCACAAGCTTCTAAGAAAATTCTATTACAGCGAACCACATTATTTTAATTGATTTCTTCGCCAGTTAGTCGTCTGTCACTTCGTTTGTGCTATAACCGTCAAGGGAAGGATGCCTCGTGAAATAACAAACAAGCTTCAACGATGCCTTGACGCCTTTGCTGATTATGCCACCACGTGGAAAATCAAAATAAATGCATCCAAAACCCAAAAAATAATGTTCCTCCATCGGCAATCTCCCAAACTAAAACCAGCTCCTTCTTGTGCTGTAATCATGTATGGCACAAGGGTTGAATGGTCCGCCGAAGTAACCTATCTCGGGATGTTGTTTGACGAAAAGTTCCTATTCCGCTCGCATGTGGAGAAAACCGTAATCAAGTGTTCCGCCTTGGTTAGGTCTCTGTATCCGCTGATTTGCCGTAGATCCCGCCGCTCAAGGGTGAACAAACTGGCTGTCTACAGACAAATCATAGCACCTGCGATTCTCTACGCAGCTCCGGTGTGGGAATCATGTGCTCAGTCTCACAGGAACAAAATCCAGGTTGCTCAGAACAGAGTGCTTAGGATGATCCTTGATCGTCCCTTTGACACAAGAATTTCAGACCTCCACCAAGAGGCGAACATTCCAAAATTAGATTTCAAAATTGATGACATTAAGACTAGTCAAGTTGAAAGGACGCATCTGTGTCACTTGATAATCCATACATGTAAACCAAACAAATACAAGGAATAATGATCATTTAAATGTCAAAAAATGTCGTAGAAGGTATTCTTGTGACGAATTTTGAAGGTGACGGACCACCAGCAGCAGCAGAAACAGCAGCAGCATCCGCAATAGAAGCAGCGCACCCGTGGGAGCTGCCTCGCTAATTCGTGTAACCATGGCCGAGACTGGAAACCTCGGTCCGGTCACGACAGACGTGTTTGTGTTTGACTGACAATGATCAGTTTATGTAAGAATGGAATCATTGTCCGGTGGGACCTGGTCAAGCGCGAACGGTTGGCGGTGATAAAGGCGCAGTGGTCGAGCGACACTGGAGCTGATGAATAATGAACATTCGCACGTTGTTACCGGGGAGATGGTGAAGGACTGGTCCCTGGATGAAGGAAGGATCCCTGCATACGAATGTGAATGCATCCGGATCATGTGATTGCGATTATGCAAATAAAAGCGCACGATTGGTGATTTAACCTAATCGCGCACTTTTGTTTGTTTCATCACGCATTCGAGAATAAGTTATAATAATAAATAGAAAATCATGCTTAACATTAAATACGTTTAAAATAAACTTGATTCATATGTAATTCGAGATCGGATTAAAATACAAAATAATAAATTTACGCTTTTTGTTCGAATTCAGCATTTTGATTGTAAATATTTTCGAATTTTTCGTTCAAATAACGAATTATCGTGTATTTTTATTATTAGTTAAACATTTGTGTATTTTTCCGAATTTTTTTTTTAGTAATGACGAGTAATGATGAATTATTGTGTATTTTTTTTCATTCACGAATTTTTGATTAATTCTCGAGAGCTCACGAACTGCTCATTTGCTAATAACTTTGAACACAGTTGACTAAACATAGTTCTTTTTGAAGTAGTAGATATAATAGAGTTCAAGCATAAACGAAGTGACAGACGACTAACTGGCGAAGAAATCCATTAAAATAATGTGGTTCACTGTAATAGAATTTTCTTGGAAGCTTCACCAGATGGATTATTTTTTTTGTTTTGATTTGAACAAAGTTGATTTTGTGTACAATGATTCTTTGACAGTGTGCAAAGAGTGTATCATTTTGTCATTTTTTTATGCATTTCAGTTTTGAGTAGAGTGAAAGAGATAGAAACAAAACATTCATGATAATGCTAGTACAATCCAGTAGTAGTGTTGCCATGTGGTACAATCCAGTAGTAGTGGTGTTGCCATGTGGTACACTGAAAAATTGAAATAGCAGGTTAGTCACCAAAGTTTTCGAGCCGCTCCGTCTGTCACTTCGTTTGTGGTAATAGAATTTTAGTCCAACTTCCGCCCCTCACCGCCAGTTTCGTTCGTTACTATTTTTGTTTTGAATTAATTCAAGTTGGTTTTGTGTGCAATGATCTGGCAACTCGCGTTCTCGCTCGCGTTGACGGGGAGCTGTTTTCTCACTCATCGAAGGAAGTTTTGATTAGAGTGAGAAAGTAAGGAACAGTCAGCGCGGGAACCGTGTGCGTTACTATAGGCACAAACGAAGTGACAGACGACTAACTGGCGAAGAAATCCATTAAAATAATGTGGTTCACTGTAATAGAATTTTCTTGGAAGCTTGTGCCATCATTCACCAGATGGATTATTTTTTTTTTTTTGATTTGAACAAAGTTGATTTTGTGTACAATGATTCTTTGACAGTGTGCAAAGAGTGTATCATTTTGTCATTTTTTTATGCATTTCAGTTTTGAGTAGAGTGAAAAAGATAGAAACAAAACATTCTAATACATTTGGTGATAATGCTAGTACAATCCAGTAGTAGGGTTGCCATGTGGTACAATCCAGTAGTAGTGGTGTTACCATGTGGTACACTGAAAAATTTAAATAGCAGGTTAGTCACCAAAGTTTTCGAGCCGCTCCGTCTGTCACTTCGTTTGTGCTGTCAAAGAATCATTATACACAAAATCAACTTTGTTCAAATCAAAACAAAAAAACTAACCCATCTGGTGGATGATGGCACAAGCTTCCAAGAAAATTCTATTACAGTGAACCACATTATTTTAATGGATTTCTTCGCCAGTTAGTCGTCTGTCACTTCGTTTGTGGTTAATCGGCTGAACCTTTTTGACAGTTCAGTGGTACTGTTTACAAGCACTTAGTCGTGTTTTCTAAAAAAAAAATCTAAAATTTCCGAATTTTAACTTGAAAATTGTCGAGGAAAAGCGCGGTGAAAGGATGTTGCTCGTGGACATTGCAGATATGTGGTTTACATTTCACTGCAGTCTAAAAAATTATCGAGAAAATCTACCCAAGAAAAAATTAACTAAGTCCACGTAAACAGTACCACTGAACTGTCATCAGATTGAGGTTAACCCCGACGGTGCAAAACCTTATTACACGGATAGAAATCTCCTTATACCTTTTGGCAAATTTCTATTGCTGATTATTCATAAAATGTATAAGTCAACTAATAAGCAGACGCCTTGCAAAAAGTTAATGAAGATCATGTGTTGAATGAGATGTATAAGCGGTCACACATACCTTTTCTGCATTCTTATAGGACCTATGTGGTTTGTCTTATGGAATGTATAATGCTGATGTAATGGCAAAAATGTATAAGTGAAACACATGAATAAAATAATTGATTTTCGTTTCGTGTAGGTTTTGCACCGTCGGGGTTAGCCTCAATCTGATGACAGTTCAGTGGTACCAACCAGTGGAAACTGAAAGGATGTTGCTCGTGGACAGTGCAGAAGTGTGGTTTACATCTCACTGCAGTCTGAAAAATTGTCGTGAAAATCGACCCAAGAAAAAATCAACTAAGTCCAAGTAAATAGTACAATTGAAATGTCATCAGATTGAGGTTAACCCCGACGGTGCAAAACCTAATCCAGTTCATGTGTGTCATCCCCCTGCCGTATAGTGTTTGTATTAGTAATACAGCCATAGAGATAAGTGACGTTTAACGCACGCACACTAGCGGGAGCAACGCCGTGTAAAGTTGTTTATTATTTTCCTCTAGCTAACCTAAAAAATGTATGAAAATAGATCTGTCAAAATTAGTTTGACATCGATTTGTTATGTATTTTCCTCAGATATTCACTAACACGCTCTCACATATCGCACCAATACCGGACGTGAAAATCTCTATACTTACGGTGCTTTTCTACTTGTATTCGTTGGAAGCGTAGAAGAAACACGATAGTAATTTTGTTGATCTGGGTCTTCGTTTTCTGGCATTTTCCGTTGTAGTGTCATGGTTTCCTGTGGAACATCGTCTTCTTCTTCCTCCAGATAGTAACGTGAACCATGTGCAGATTTACAATTTTCACACTCGCTCAAATAGTCATCGTCCAAACTGTTATCGTTTGGGAGAAAATGTTCTTTTGGGTTAGCACAATTTGTATAGGTAGACAAAACGGGCAAAGGCTTTTCGCTCTTCATTGAATGTTCATTTATGTTCATTTGATCGAGCAATTTACGCGACTGATTTTGGTTTGATGATCTTCTTGTGGCTGTCTCTTGTGATCTTCTATTATTAGAAATTATAGATGTAAGCTGCGTCGGCATGCTATCTGCAGATACAGGAACGTAGTGACCAACAAGTGATCGCTGGTGTGGTTGTAATTGTGATGGTATATTAATTACTGATGGAACTTTATTCACTACTTCTGTTAGTAAATTCGAACTACGAGTACTTATTTTGTTTGTTTTCTTTGGCAAAGTATTGAAGCAAGAGTTGCTATTCTGTAAACTATTATTAAACTGTGTTGTGCTCCTAGAGGCTTGTGCATAATCGTGACTGGCTGAAATAACATGTCTTGGCAATGACTTGGAATAGTTATTTTTCCGCAGTTTATTCGCGTTTTTGTAATTATTTATAGCATTCGAATTGGGAATCGAAAACTTAGAACTGTCGCTCGAAGGCTTAGAAATGGCATGCGTTTTGGAATTACTGTAATATGATTTCTGATGTGCTCCAGATAAACGACTGGTATTATGCTTGTACATTTTCGGTGGAAGCTCGGGGTTCGGTTCAATACACATTTCAGACTTTGTTGAATTATAAGATTTTCTATGCACTTCACGATCGTTAGAAGAGCTCGATTGTTGCATAATTGTTGAAATGTGCATGCTTGTGTCCATCATGACAGCATTTTGATTGTGTTCACATTGTTCTGTTTCATTTCTATGTATCGATTCCAAACTAATGTTTGTATCATGTAGAGTTGCACTCCTAGGAAGCGAATTTTGCTTTTTTAGATTTGGCTGACTCTCTACGCGTGGTTGATCATCAACTATAGCTTTGTCGTTTGCCAGAAAAAGTTGCATTTTACTAAAGTTGCTATTCGAATAAACATTTTTGTCACCAATTTGACCATTATCATAATTTTTCCTCAGAGTCCCTCCTTTACAGTGAGCAGAAGATGCTTGAACGGGTTTAGTTTGAACTGACGCAGCATGATGCGGTATGTTAACATGTCTTACAGCATCGATAGAAATACGCTTTTTCATCGTAGGCATCTGACCTATTTGAGTACCACTTAGTACTGTCGACGTAACCTCGTTTTGCCCTACGCCTAGAGAATGAGAAGATAAGTATGTCATAGGTGTATGCTGCACTGGACATTGGCAAGATAATCGCTTATTTCCGTTATATGCTGCATCTAAACGTTCAGGTTTGCTGTTAGTTTCGCTGTTGAATGTAATATTACTTGGGGCAGATGACATTATATTATTACGACTACTTTTCAGTGGATTAATGATCGGATCCACAGCCGCAAACTGCCTAGGAATAGTTCTGTGGTAACGCTTCCCGATAGTACGGTACTTGGTAGCAGAAGCTGTTTTATCGCTGGCAGTGCTTAATTCATTTGTAATACTGTCAAATACTGGTGGTGGCAGAACCGTACGATTGTTAATGTTTTCGCTTTTTTCCATAATACTTTCTGAAGTTCTTTTTTTTTGTACCGTTGAGCTGGTTATTATTGCTGGATTGTGACTAGTATATGTTTGAACATTCGGGACATGAGACATTAAGTAGTTACAGGTGCTCCCAACATTTAAATCACAATTTTGATTTGTGCATACTTCGGATGCAATTAAGGGAATGGTGTAGTAATTAGATGTAAATGTCGCACATGACTCATTGTTTTCCATATTAGCGTTAGTATTGGTAATATTTGAGTTTAATGATGTATCAATTTGTTCAGTTTGTATATCAGAGGTTGGCTCGCTACCTACTACATGATTTTCACCAGTGGCGATTGCAGTCATGTTTCCGCCATTGTTGATGTTAATGTTGATCAGGTTCGTTGTATTCGCGGTTATATTCTGCGAAGCCTCTGTTTCTGTTATGCCGATAGGATACTGCCTTTGGGTAGAGGTGGCGACACTGTGAAAAGAATATGTACATTAATTTAAACTTTTATTTATTTCTATATTCTGATTAATTTAATAAATAAAACATATTTTTTAACAGAAACAAAAAATCCTTCAGGTATGGTTGTATGAAATTTCAATGACAAAAAAATATTCACCAAAAACACTGTGGTTTATTCCATGATTAAAGGAACATTCGGGGTATCGAAATTTGAGGGAATGGTATTCGAGTATGATCCTTAGTGCATGTCGTATTACTTCATCACTATTGAGAACTGGTGAAGTATTCGATTTTTTTACAGTTGTCATTCTCGCATTTATCGCAAGGATTCGACTCTAATTGAAAGGTCCTCTTTATACTCTTCGGAGTGTTGAAACACCCTCCAAAGGCGCGCCCCTTTGTCAGTCAAAATGGGATTCCTTAGCAACAAAATTAAGAAATGACCCAGTTAATTACCATGCATCAGAACCCTAGTCTTAACCACTTCAAACTAGGGAACAACGAATAGAAGATTAGGAATCACATAGATGAAGACTAACTAACTCATTTTTCCTTGTTTCAAGATCATCCTCGGTGGACAAATCCGAGTCTTGTCACTATCAACAAGGCATAAAAAGTAACAAGGACTAAGATGTGCAATATATTTAAAATTAACCATCAGCCACTGAAACTATATGAATTATAGCGTATTTCTGTTGTTCATTACATACCAAGTGAAAACTTAATAATGTTTTGCCGTGGAGTGTTGTGGTTATGAGATGCTCGATAACCCTAGAGGGATCGGTTTTGCTTAATGAGCAGAATATCATGCACACTTAAACAGAGACCCTGAGTTCGGTAAATAAAATTACCGTCTTAAATCGGTAATCCTAAAAATTACAGATGTTTCGGTATTTTCTCGCTATATTGCTGAAAACTGTAAATAAAATTACCGAATTTCGGTGATTTCATTTCAATTCAACGAAAACGGTAAAAAAAATACCGGCAGATCTGTAAATCAGCTTAATCACTGACTTCGGTGAAATATTTTACTGAAGTTTCGGTAAACAAAGCGTTCCATTACCGAGTTCGGTAGCTTTCACAGCGAGAAACGTCAAATCCGCCGTAATGTGTTTTCGACCTTTAAAAAAAAGTGTGTAAGTGGAAAATGTTATGAAAAACAAAAAGTGAAATGATGGAGGCTTTTATGGACCAGCTGCAACGCATAAAGATGAGCAAATCGTAGATATTTTCCGTAAGTAATGGTATTTCGTTATCTAAATAAACACCCATTGTTACAGATGGCCGATTTTTTCTGTCGGTCGCAAGTACCAGGCTATGTTACCGGACTGCACCGACATATCAATGACCATATAAGAAGAGACATTTTATACCGGCAGCAATTTTCAACTTTAATACATTGACCACAACTGGAGCCAAATATTTGCATGGATTGCAGTGACCGCCAGCGCTACGAGTAAGTTTTGGGTTTTTAGATTTACGAAAAGCATATCCGTAGAAATAAAATAAAATAAAGGATAAGGAAAAATTATTTAATTCAATTGATAAAACCAAGAAAATACCTTGAAACAATATTTAAGCGAATTACAGTTGAGTCGGTAACCTTTTAAAAAACTACAGATCTTTCGGTAAATTTCATTTTCCATATCGACTTCAAAATAACAGTTCTCCGGTAAAGTCGATTACAAATCATGCTTATTTTTCGGTAAATGTTACCGATCGTTCGGTAAATTTGACAGCTAATTTTGCTGATTCAGTTTACAGATTTTTCGGTAATGTTCTCGATTACCGAAAACATTACCGACCGTTCAGCTGTTGAGAATTCGGTAAATGAATTACCGAAGTCGGTAATTTTTTCTAAGTGTGTGGGTTTAATGCCAAGCTCTCCCACAACATAATAAACCGCCATAGTTGGGTTCCGAGAGCATAAAGCGCAGATAATAACCAATAGTTGAATTGTTTAAACCATGAGTTTCCGTGAGCTTTGACAACTCTGAGTGAAAGTATATATACAGGGTGTTTGGTTCCGGGTTTTACATATTTTCAGGGTAGATAGGTCTCCTAAAGTTTTCAAAAAATCCCCATAAAACATAGGGTCGGAAATGACTGCTAAGTGAGTTATTCAACATTTTATGTTTTTATGGTATTGCCAACTTTGGTTAGCTATATTTTTTAAATATTAATGTGGTTTTCTGATTTCAACATACCAAATGAAAGATTAAAGTCTTAGCTATCAATGCTTTTGAAAAAGAACTCGATTAAAGTTAATTATCATACATTAAAATTGAAAAGTATGTTGAAAGTACCAAAAAAAAATGGTGAAATTTCATACATTTTAGTGTTTTTAAGTTGAAAATTTTCATTTCTGTTTATTTAGTTGTTCTACAAAACATTTTCCATGCAGTTCCCTAGATTTGTGCCTTTGGTAGTAACCTTGTAGGCTTTATGGTTTCTTTGTAATTATTGATTTAAAACAGCCATAAAAACTTGTGACGTTTTCATAAAATGCGCTATAGTCACCCTATTCGTTCGTACGTTCGGCTGTTGCAGTGGACTACGCACATGAAAACTTGGTAGAATGTTATTGTAAATGTTTAGATACATTCTTAACTTTTGATTACCGCACATCTCCTGCGCCCAAAGAAAACATAACTGCGGAGATGTTTCGCGGTATCGAATATAGCTCAGTCTCAGCAGAAAACACAACGAGAGACACCGAATCGGCGAATTCTGAGAGCGGAAGGGAGAGAAGTAGGTAGTGGTAATAAGTCGATGTCCTTTTTATTTCATAGCACTCGCAGCTCAGCTGCGGTGCTGTTTCGATGGAGGAGTGTGGAGCTCCGCTGCTTCTGTATACACACTTAGCTTTTTTTACAGGAGTTAGTATTTTTACTGGATTTTTGGATTACTGACTCGGTTAAAATTCAAATGACTGTTATTCGTAAAGATTGGATGAAATCGAAAATTTTTATTTTTCATCATTACACGTGGTTAACAGAAGTTAGTCTGTAAATTTTCGTAACACATTTTCTCAACTTTGAATTTTTCACTGATTTTTTAAATTTTACCGAAGAGTTCCGCAATTCAAAAACTCGGTAAAAATTACTGACTCGATAAGTGTGTACTGATGTATGGTTGGTGAAGAGGTTGGCAACTGGAGGGTATTCTCGGGCTAGTGAATGCCACCCATCCCCACTTATAATTCAGTAATACACTATTCATTCATTTCTGTTTGATATGTTTGCAAAGTTTGCAAACAGAAATGAGCATTGCAGTGTAGTTACCAATTTTCCAAGTCATAGACTTCAGATAACTGTTCAAAGTCCCAGATTTTTTATAACGGAATCATGAACAAAAAACCAAAGACCACTATGACAAATGCGATCGGTCTGAAGGGATCTTTACATAGAAATTGTTTTAAGGTGATACGATTCAGAACTTCGGGCTCTGGTTCCACTTCGTTTTTTCCAGGAGTCCATGATCTGCTACTGGAAAACATACAATAACAAAACTGTGATGATAATTTAGTGCCTCAAATCGCAATAGTGCCCGATATTAACTCCCTAGAAAACTCGAAGTGGCAGTGAAAGTGCCTGTGGACACTGAATCGTATCACCTTAAGAACTCAGTATGTTCCATTCCCAGGTTGGAAATTTTCTCAACTTCCCTGGGCATAGAGTATCACCAACAATCAATACGAAACTAACAATTTTAAATTGGCTCACCACTTTAGTAGCCTATTGGTCCCAAGCAAACGATTAACGTACCCTATTCTAGTTGAAATTCTATTACTACACTATGTTTGTTTTGATTCGCTATGAAAGTTTGACAGATAACATCAGGGGAGTGTGGATTCATGCAGAACATGCAGGGGTGAGTGAAATAGCTTGGGACTGCTTGGGACCGTTGTTCTGGTACTGAGTGAGCCAAAAATAATAATGATTTTCTTCGGGACCCAGTGGTCTTAGAGTTACCTCTATGGTATCACTGTGCTTGTAAAAATACAAATGCATACATTGCACTATGGGCAAAAATGGGTCCAAAATTACCCAAAATTCAATATCTCAACAGCACGCTGAATTCCGGCCATGAAAAACGACTTTTCCGAAGGGAAATTGTTCGGGGAATCGATTGCACGTAGTCCCATAGACCGGAGAGCCTTGTAGGTATGTGTTTTGGACCATTTTACCCTATTTTCCCCTACTTTTTGGAGGAAATGTTTTTTCACAGCTCTATTTTTCGTAAAACATAAGCACTTTATCCATGGTTTTAGAATACTATGTCTTTAAACAACAGTTCATGAGATATTAGGGGAATACGGGGTACACTTTATAGGGGAGTAAGGGGTAAAAGTGAACCCTCGCTGAATTTATTTTAAGTCATAAAAATGTTGAACGATGCGATTGTTTGAATGAACCCAAAGGTTGCCTGCAATAATGAGATTTTTTTTTGAAATTTTAAGGTTAATTGGGGTTAAATAAGTTTTAATTTACTGCTATCTGTTTTAAAAGAGTTTTCAATTTTTTTGTCTGTATACAGTAAAACGATATAGTGGTTCTCAGAATTTTGTAAAAATTGGTAGTTTTGTTCCTTATCGCAACATATTAGACCCTTATTTTTTATTTTGTCATTAGGGTAACTAATTACATATTAGGGCGGTCAAAAAAAAATTTTTTTTTTTCGATATTTTGCAAAAAAATATAACTTTTAAACTGTTTGGCCGATGACGGAACTCAAAATACCAAATGAAAGTAAATTAAATGTATTTATAAGAAAAAAATATTAAGATATTAAAAAAAAGGATTTTGTATTAAAAAACATTGATTGTTTTTTCAATTTTACCCCTTACTCCCCTATAAAGTGTACCCCGTATTCCCCTAATATCTCATGAACTGTTGTTTAAAGACATAGTATTCTAAAACCATGCATAAAGTACTTATGTTTCACGAAAAATAGAGCTGTGAAAAAACATTTCCTCCAAAAAG